CTCTGAAGCTGGCATCCTATAAGGAGCCATCAACATCAGGCTTGTACCTGGTATCAATTCTATAACAAAGTCAACTTCTCATTATGGAGGTAAATCACTGATGTCATCCGGAAACACTTCTGGAAATTCACAGACAACAGGTACTTCCACACTTACAGTCTTACGATCCACTTGTAACGACACAAACATTGCAAACATCAAAGCTTCCTCTTCTAAGAGTTCATACACTTGCTTAGTGGACATAAACATCAACTCTCGCTATCGCCAAACTTAGCGAACCTCACTGTCTTATTATAACAGTTTATATGAACATAGTTGACTTCAACCAGTTCATTCCAAAAATAACATCAATTTGGTGTAAGGGTAGACACACCATATCCATCACAAAACCATTAGAACCATTAAATCATTAAAGGACCCTTCGAACAAACGAGAGTAGTAGTAACAAAACCATTAGCAGAAAGTTCTATTACCATTCCCCCATTCATATCAGACAACAATAATCCCAGCATAGTAGCACATTCAAGTGAAATAAACGAATGAGTAACCCCAATATCAATAATAGTTATTAACTCAAAATTGTTAATAAAATAAGTACCTCCGATCAGGTTGTCTTTCTTAGCGACTTCTGAACCACTCAGAGCAAACACTCTACCATTAGTTAGTATTAGTAGCAGTAGTAGCATTCTTCTTTCGTTTCTGAAACTGGGTACTGGTGTGACCCTGTTCACCATAGTTGAAACAAGTAGGACCTTCATTCTTGCATCCAGTAACGGGATGACCAACCTTGCCACACCTGTAATATCTCAACACCTTATTAGTGCAGGAATCAACATGGTGGCCTAACTCGCAACACCTGTAGCATTTCACAAAAGCAAGAGCTCCTACCCCACTCGGCTTCTTCTCATCATGAGCTTTCTGCTTCCCTTTATCAGCGGGAGCAGCATACGGTTTACCAGGATCATGATTCCTTCCCTTCTTCTCATTATAATTTTCTTGTAAAAAGAAGCTTTGCCTCTACTATCTTGGTCGAAGATTATACATTTGTTCACCAACATAGGAAACTGACGAATCTGCAGATATCCAATACACTGCTTGATCTCTGGACGTAGTCCATTCTCAAACTTAATTCACTTTGACACTTCAGCTCTTGGGTCGTTATAGTGCGGACACAATTTCACCAGTTCCTCATACCTAGCCGCATACTCAGCAACCGTTGAACTTCCTTGCTTTAACTCAAGGAATTTGATCTCCTTCTTACCATGCACATCTTCTGGAAAATACTTATCTAGAAAAGTAATTCTGAATACAGCCCAAGTAATCTCCGTACCCATAATCTCCATTCTCTGGTGCAATTGTTCCACTAGTCCTCAAATTCTTCTTCCAACATGTGCGTGCTAAACTACACCTTCTGATCTTCTATGCAGACCACTACCCAGAAAATATTTTCAATCCCCTTAAGCCATGCTTGCGCACCATCTGTATCGTGTATGCCCTTGTAGATCGGCGGGTTGTTCCTCTGAAACCTCCCCCATGCACGAGCTTCATCATTATTCCCACATGCGTTAGGCGGATTTTGCATAGCCTGAGCAACAGCTTGTAAAGCAACAACAATTGCAACATCGTTTCTCCCAACCATTCTTCTGGTTCACGTATCAACAACAACAATGGTTGGAAACTATCTCGACAGTATTCAACTGTCACTCACTACAGACTCAACAATCTAGCCGGACAGACCGACCTGCTCTGGTACCACTAATGTAACACCCTTCTAAAATTCCACGAATAATATAATTAAATAATCAGAGTATTTCACCAAAAAAGGCGTCACATGCTTCATAAAAAATCATATATGCATGTCTTACTTCATAACACAGGTTTTCAAAATCATTTATGACAAATACTTCATTTAATAACAACTGTAAGACTTCAACTATGCACAGCGGAATTCATAGTTCAAAACACCTTATTAAATACATCATGGAAATTCTATCGTTCATGATTCCTATTTCAAAACAACTAAATTACCATGAAATGCAATTTAAAATCTCAGAATACACAAAAGAACATAAGTTAGAAATCAAACGTTCCTGACCCCAATGTTACATATCAGAGCAAGACCTTCTAAAATCAACGGAAAGAAAACAACACACTCCAAGCTATATTCTAAGCTTCTACGAACTACTCTTGATCATTTATGTGTTACCCACATGGAGGCAACATTCAAACAGGAAGGGTAAGTAATCACATTAATTACAAAATCAACAATCATGGCATAAAAATCAACAATCATCATCAACAATCTATCATTTAACATAACAACATATACACGTCATCTAATCAACAATCATGCAATGCCACATAAAATGTAGTGCGATAACATAGACTCATGAATGTGGTATCAATTCGTTATGAGTACTCAAATCCATACCATAGGATCGATTCCCTCTTGGAACTGGAGCACAACATCAACCACACTCGATCCATATAATGGGAATGAGGCCAACACTAGACTAGCATCCTTAACAACATTGGACTTGCATCCTAAACAACACTGGACTTTTGTCCTAACAATGTTATGAATGCATGATGCACAATCAACATAATTATTTACGACCACATCTAGTCAAGTGCATCACTATTCACCGATTCATCAATAATATTCACATGGCATAAATAAGCATCAACATATTAGCATCAACATCATTGAACACTTCATAGTCACAACGGATTATCATCTTATCAATATAATTCATCATGGCAACATGCATCCTTATAGCCTACTTCTTAAGAATCTAAGTCTATCTTAACCTAGGTACTAGAGTTATACCTCTTTTTACTCATTTTATTCCACCCACAGGTAGTCCATTGCGTTATCTGTCCAACACTTTGAACGACGCTTCAAACGAAGTTCTAAAACTCAAGTTATGGCTCTTTAAAAATCCTATTGTTGTTCATCTCCAGGTGCTCAACCGGCGACACAGTCTGCTCTCCCGATGATGTAGGAGCAACAACACCATCTATCTTCTCTGGTCTCCACCGCCAGACGAAGCACCTTGATCGCCCGATAATGCACCCCTTGCTTCTGCATCGCCTGATGACGCGCGAGCGAGACAACCCTCTCCAACAAAAATCCAAGAGAACCACTTTTCCACCTATTCCTTCACTCCTTATCTCGCCCAGCGAAGACCAGGCGACGTTGCCTCGCCTGACGACGCATCCTTTTGCCTAGCGACGTGCACCAAACAACAACTCTCTATTGTAATTCTGCATATGTTCATCCCTAATTCTTCTTACAATTTCATACCAATACCGTCTAAATTTTCATAGTTTTCAACATAGAATCATCATACAACAACCACACAATATTATATGCATTATATACACAAACTCATGACAAATCAACATGGTATTTTCATCAATTCCAATACAAGTTCATCACAATACAACATATCACTAAAATCATTATAAATCTCAACAAATCCTTACATACCTTTAAACCCCATATCAATTATAATGATAGATCATCCCCTCTTACCTTAGATTCCTAGCTTGATCTTTCCTCCTCGTGATCTATCAAATTCCTCTATGTTCTTCGTGCCCTAGTTTTTCCTCTGCTCTTCCTATGTTTTCACGATCTTACACACTGACACTCCTTTCCTTGTTAAATCTTAGGACCTCTAATACGTTTTGCCTAATTTATCCTCACTTAGTCTTTCATCAATTATCATCTTGCCCTTATCTTCTCTACACCAATTATTCCTTTATTTTATTATTAATAATAATTCTAACTAATTTTAAATGATTATTAACTAATTATCTAAATTACTAAAATACTCCTTATTCATCTAAATTCTCATTATCCCACGACATAACAACACATCACACATCATACTCAACAAAATATCATATTTTCATCAATAATTCATAAATATTTCTAATAACTCATTTAAATAATTAACTCTAAAAATCAGGGTGTTACAACAGACGTACCCATAGCTAAGTTGATTGGAGAACT